TTTTTTTTTTGATATTTTGCACATGCCACGTCAGAAAAAAATATTAAAAAAAATCCACGTAGGGGGGTTAAAAGAAACGCGGGTGGGTTAAAAGACACGTAGGCTCATCCGATAACCTCGACCTGCCGTAGGCGGTCAGAGGACCAAAAAACTAATTTTTTTTCAGTTAGAGGACTATTTCCAAAAACAGTCCATTAAATAGACCAAATTGAGAACGACCTGTAGATAAAGGACGAAAAAACCTTTTTATCCACATAAAAATCCTCGAAGATGAAATTCTCTGACTTAACATTCGTGAGGAGATATTCTGGAAACAACGAGCTCGAGTCGATTGGTTGAAAGAAGGGGATCACAACACTAGATTCTTTCATTCGAGAGCAAAGTCTCAGAATAAAAATAATCATATCGAGAATCTCAGGGTGGCGCACAATAGATTGTCTACAGACGAAGCAAAAATTCAACATCATGTGCTTAGCTTTTTCGATGATCTTTTCACCTCCCGTAAAGCATCATCGGAGGACATTGCATATATCACGGACATAGTGCAGAGATGTATCTCCTCCGAGTTTTATTCAATGCTCGACGCTCCTTTCACGAACGATGAAGTCGAAAATGCTTTGATGAACATCGGTCCGTATAAGGCTCCGGGTATTGATGGGTTTCATGCTATTTTTTTTTTCACAAACATTGGCCTCTTATGAAAGATGATATTATGGCTGCTTGTCTGAAAGTTTTAAATGAGAGACAGTCTGTCCAGGAGGTGAATGAAACTGTTACTGTGCTTATCCCGAAAAAGAGCCATCCATAGTATATCATTGATTTTCGACCTATTAGTCTTTGTACTGTATAAAATCATTTCAAAATCCATAGCAAATAGACTGAAAAAAGTTTTAGGGCCAATTATTTCTCAGAATCAAAGCGCTTTTGTTCCAGGTCGATCTGTCACAGATAATGCAATTCTTGATTTTGAGCTCCTTCATTCAATGTCGAAGATTCGCTCGAGAAATACGAAGTGGATGGCACTGAAACTTGATATGAGTAAAGCCTACGATAGGGTCGAATGGAGTTTTATCGACGCCATGCTCACGAGAAAAGGTTTTCCTCCTCGGTTCAAGGCCTTGATTTATAATTGCATTTCTACAGTCAGGTTCTCATTCTCTATCAATGGAGTTATTATGGGTAGCCTGGTTCCTTCTCGTGGTTTGAGACAAGGCTGCTCGTTATCACCTTATCTATTTATTCTTTGCGCCGAAGGCTTTTCTGAGGCATTGAGGCATGCTGAAGTATCGGGTGATCTGATGGGTATGCGATGCAGTCGGCAAGGCCCTCGAATATCTCATTTATTTTTTGCCGACGATTCTATTATTTTCTCCAAAGCCCGGCCACAGGAAGCAACGTTTATCTTAAACATCCTTCGAAGGTATGAACACGCCTCTGGACAGATTATAAATTTGAAGAAGACGACAATTACTTTTTCGCCGAATACCCCAATCTCTTCTCGAAACGACATATGGTCCTTATTCGGTATCCAAAATCCATCGTCTCATAGTACCTATCTGGGGCTTCCTTTTGTGGTGGGCCGAGCGAAATTTCGTACTTTCGCATCCGTTCAAGATAAAGTTTGGAAACGGCTTCAAGGTTGGAACCGGAATCTATTCTCTAAGGGCGGTCGATAAGTCTTAATAAAGGCGGTGATTCAATCGTTACCTACTTACATGATGAGCCTCTTTCGCCTCCCTCTTGGTCTTTGCTATTAGCTTCGTCAACTGGTGAGCCAATTTTGGTGGGGAGCACGGAATCGGGAATGTAAAATCGCTTGGGTCTCCTGGCAGAAAATGTCAGATTCCAAACTCAGTGGGGCTCTCGGGTTTAGGGACTTCCAACTCTTCAACCAGGCTCTTTTAGCCAAACAAGCATGGAGAATTCTACATAGTGCGGACTCTTTGGTTTTTCGGGTGTTGAAAGCTAAATATTTTCCCGATGTCGACTTTCTCGACTCCATTGCTCGTCCGAGTTCCTCATTCTTATGGAAGAGTGTATTATGGGGACGAGAAGTGATTAAAGAAGGCATGAGATGGAGAATCGGAGATGGATCGCAAGTTAGAATATTTAGAGACTTGTGGATTTTGCATAATTCGTGGTTTAGGCCTTTCTCCCCCAGAGTATCGGAGCTGGAGTATGTACATGATTTGATTGGACCAACTGGAGCTTGGAATTCTGATCTTATACACCAGGTATTTTTACCAATTGATGCTTATAAAATTCTTTCTATCCCTCTTCAGGCCAGACGGGTTGAGGATCGTACCTTTTGGCATTATTCAAGTAATGGGGGGTACTCAGTGCGAAGTGGCTATCGTTTGTTGAAAACATCTCACGAGGGTTCGTGGGAATCAAGCTCTAATCTGAACAGGCAATGGTGGAAAGCGTTGTGGAAGCTTCGTCTCCCCGCAAAATAAAAATTTTTATTTGGAAATTGTCTCTTTCAGCTATACCATCTAGCAAAAATTTGGTGCGGAGACACATTTGCGTGGATAGTAGATGTCCCAGGTACGGCAGTCGTGAAACCAACTATCATCTCTTCTTTGAATGTAAGTGGGCGAAAAGGATGTGGACATATGCAGGTTGGTGGGATGTTGTCCACGGCTTTTGGCGGAGAGACTTTATCCAGTTTTTT